AAGAAAACCTCTTTCTCCCCTAAGACACCAGCCGATCCTCCCACGGAGCATCCTTGCCTGCACAGCCTCTCGCAGAGCTGACCCGTGCCCGGGTGCCTGCCTGCCAGAGCCACACCAAGGAGCCCCACGGTTAAATCCTGCCTGGATGAGGTCTGATGGGCCCTCAGCACCCATGTACAGCAGTCACTGCTGTACCGTGTCACTCAGCATCCCCACCTGTACCTCTCGAGGGTCCACCCCAGCCTGGCCCATGCCAGGATGTGATGACTCGGGGACCCAGGCTCATGCCGAGCTGCCCGTGCTGCACCTTAGGGGAGAGGGAGGAGGCAGAGGCAGGGCTGCCAGCCCACTGCCAGCCTCGGGGCACAGCCGGGGGACCTGCTGCTGAGTTGGTGGTGCATGACTCACCCAGGCTGCTTGGGGCACCTCACACATCCCACCACCCCTTTGCTGAGGGCACAGGGAGACTTCCAGGTCCAGACACTGCTTGTTGAGGATGCTCCGAGCCCATCTCAGGGCCCAGGGTGCAAGGTTTGTGTGCTGCCCCAGAGCTGAGTCTGGCAAGGTCTCTGCCACGCTGAGGAAGAGGAGGCAGCAAAGGGCACAGGGCTGGATGCTCCTGTTGCAGGGATGCACATGGCATCCTCCTGCCTGTACAGGGGCAGAGCCTCCAGCCCTGCCGTGATCTCAGGATGATGGTGAAGAGGATGGGTAAGGAGGAGCAGGTCCCTGCAGCTTGTCCCCCATGGGTGGGAGCACACCCCGACGTCAGTTGCTTCCTGGGCAGCCCACCCTCCCGATCCCCGACTCTGGGCAGTCCTGAGGGCAGCACGGTGCCTCCTGCCCGATGTGTGGATACAGGAATGGGCATCTGGCAAAGCTTCTGCTGGAGACTTTAGCCCTGGCACCAGAGTCTGTCTCGCCTCCATGAACTCTGAGTTGAAAAAGCTTGAAAAAATATATGCAAAATTCAGGGCTCACCTTCACACGCATTGCAGAGTAATTTGAGTCTCCAAACCACAGTCTACACCAGGGGCTGAGAAGTACTTGCCTGTACATGACCATGGAAGGTTACCAAGAACGACAGACCTCACTTTGGCAGATCTACATCCACCCACCGGTGTCTGCATGTTCAGGAAGGTTGAAAAAGCCATCGGCATAAAGGACTGAGACTCTTTCCCCCTTAGAAAAAAAAAAAAAAGTAAGGTCTGGGTCTGATTGCCTTGCACCTCTCAGAAAAATGTCCCAGGAGAGATTCCGTCCCTCTTCCCACAAAATCAACACATTTAAAAAGAGAATCATCGTCACATGGCTTTTAGTTGCACGCTGAGAAGCAGATGCTGCGTCCACCAACTCACGGTGCGGGAAGGAATTTGGCTCTTGTGTTTTGGAGAGTGCAAAAATACATCAGGCTGAAGGTGCATTAGTTTGTGAGCTTCCACACTGGCCATGTACACGCACAAACACATGGGTGTGTACACACAGATGTCAACATGCGTGCTGTAGGGTCATTTATGGAGCCCATCAGATGGTTTGACCATGTGCCACTAAGAGAGCAGCAAAGACCACCCAGAGTTGGACCAGTTCAGCTGCACGTCAGCTGACCTCCATCCCACCCCCAGCATCCACCTGGGCCTGGATTCTCACTGAGCTGAGCCTGAAGAGCCCCAGTTTGTTGGTGATTTTCTCCCTCTTGGTTCAAGGCAGAGAAGAACCAGCTCAGAAAGTCACGGCCACACATGTAGGAGAAAGCGACTTACCCCTGGGAGAGGATCACCTCACCTCTGGGACGCTGTGACACCCCGTGTGCCATCCTGCCGCAAAGCTCTTGGCTGCTCTTGGCACTGAAGCACTAACGCTGGCCACACTGACAGCACCTACATCTCCACTGGGGATGGAAATGTGGTGGAGGAGGGCAAGCTTTAGTGAAGGGTGACACCTTCAGAAGGGACCTGACGTGGTCTGTGACCCATTAACTCTGCCAGGTGAAGAAGCTCTGCTCAACTCCCAGATCCTTGTGCAGACCTGAGGAAACCGTGCCAGGAGTCATCCCCACAGTGGAAATCCTTGTGATATTTAACCCCATTTCTCCGGTGCAGTTAATGAGGGCGGTTTGTGGGTGTGATCATGTATTTCATTTCCCTTATTTCCTTTTGGGTGCGTTATAAAATGTCTGAGGAGTTCAAGATCTCTGGGTCTCTGTCCTCCTTCTCTCTAGGCTATGCAGGTTTCCTGTGGGTTTGGCCGGCAGGTATAAATACATACATCCTTCATGAGAGCAGTGCAAATAGGAAAAGGAGGAATTAATCACAGGGTACTATGATTACCGTGACTAATCCTTGAAGCTAGAGCCCCAGCAGCAACACAGCGCTGCGTGGCTCCCCGGAGTAGCACAAATACTGCTCGGCTCGGTGTGGCTTCGACGTGTGGCATGTTTCACCAGCAGCCCTGAGGGAGACGTGCGGTGCTGCTCTGGATGTGAAAATATCAAAGTTCACCTCATCCAGGGTTGGGTTAGGAAAGGATGAAGCTGAGCCTGGGCAATTCTGCCCATGCAGGACTTACTGCAGCTGGATGGCACCTGGGCTGCACCACCAGCAGGTTCCTACGTGAGGAACGTGTCCTCCAGAAAGGCTGAGGTCTTCCAGGTGGACACCAGAAATAATCCAGTGAGAAAAACAGGTGTTAAGGACACGGATTGCTGGAGGGGAGATGTTTGAGACTTGGTTTATGGACACAGTGGTCTCCAGACTCAAATCATCCCTGAGGTGACTCTTAGCCACACTGAAGGACATCAGTTAGGCTTTGCCTCCTGTAAATAGAGTTATTCTCTACGTCCTGAGTGGGGTCGTTGGCCTTCCTGCCATCCTCTGGTCCATGGAGCCTGTTTTATTAGGGGTGGTACACTGGCATCTTAGAGATCCCCACTGAGGATGTTCAGGGGTAAATCTGTGCTGCACTGCATTCACACGTGGTTGTATCTGTGTAACATTCACACTGTCTTAAGCAATTAGTTAATGAATCAGCAAAAAAGCAGTTGCCAAGCCAACCCAAGCCAAACATGTTTGTCTTGGAGATGCAGCATGACAACTTTTGAGAAGTGGGTCCTGAGCAAACCTCAGTGTGAATTTCTTGATCCAGCTCTCCAGAGCTGCTCTGGGATTTTAGATCCCAAAATGGAGGACATGTGAGGAGAGTGAAAGGACTGAGCCCTGCCTGTGACAGGGAAAAGCCCACGGTCAAGATCACTCATCTCCTGTAGGACCTTGGGTGGTTCCTACAGCCTGTTGCCCATCTGTAACGCAACTCGCTGTTCCCTTACCACGTCAGGCCAAGGTGTGCAGCCCGTGAGGTCCTGGGACGTGGCAGCAAAGGAGCATTTCTGAGCAGCAAGAGTTTGGCCTCCTGCATTGCTCCGGGAGGGAAGGGCTTGTCCATCACTGCTGGCACAGGCCAAGGGTCAGCACTAGAGAAGAAATATCCTCAGGCTGCAGCATCCCTCACCTGTCCTGGTGCTCTGGGATGGGTTGGTGACCAGGACAAGGCTTTACTGCTTCCACTGACTGGTGGAGGTCAGGGCTGCTCACCAGGTTTCAGGCTCTTTCTGTAGCAGGATAACAGGCGTGGGGCATCGCAAAGTGAGTTTGTCTCAGTACAGGCTGCACTTGGTCACAGTTTTGTTGGTGTGGGCACAAGCAATGGCAGGGTTGGTCCCTCTTCCCCCAGAACCACTTGGAGACATGGGGCTGGTGGCTTTTGCCATGAGCAAGTGAGGCAAGGCAGGCTTGGAGAAAGGCTGCCTGGCCAGCTTGGTGTAAATAACACGGTCTAAGCCTCTTGGAGTGACGTATGGGCTTGAGTCCTACTAGGCCACCGTGTCACCAGCTTCTGACCCTGCTTGAAAACGTTGCAGCGGGTCATTTTTGTGCCACACTTCACCCTGAGAACAAGCCTAACTGCAGGTGGTGAGCTGAGGGAGGTGATTGCTCTCAAGCGTGTCATCTGCATGATTGCACTTTTAGGACCATATTACTCAAGAGCGCTGGAGCTCCTCCGTTTGTGGGTGAGATGTGCTTCCTTGTCCGTAGGCACTGATGTTGTCTCCACATTGGAGAATAAGTCCAGAGCTGTTTGTATTGTCTGTTCTCAGTAAAAATTGTAATTAAAATTCTTCCAGCCTGAAGGAAACAGATGCAATGTGGTAGGTCCAGACAAGCCAAGTGTTGAAGGCACTGGATGAGATATGCATACGCATTTTTTCCTCCGAAACCTGGTTTATCTCCAAGATGAAAAGCTTGACTATGAGCGTCACTGAGTGACGTTAGAGCTCAAAAGCTCTGGCTGGCCAGACCGTTTGGGGACACAGGCAGCAACATCTGACCAGCTAATGCGGGGATGTGAGAGCACTGCTTCCCGGGAGGTGTCCAGGCTTGACTTGGGGACCTCGGGGAGCAGAGGAGCTGACATTTTCCCTGGGAGTCTCTTGCTGATCCTGTAACTGAGTGCGGAATTGGCCCAAGGATGCCTTCCCTGGTATTGCTCATCCTGGATAGCATATGTGCTGGCATCCCTTCTCCTGATTAGACATGCCCTTGCCAGAGAGGCTGCCTAGAAATTGCCCTGCTCTGAGGACAGGTCTGGGTGCCTTCTCAGTTCTGGCCTTAGCCAAAACTTTGGTTTTACAGCCTCAGCTCCACTGCTAGCAGCCACATTAGCCAGAACAGCTCCAGGGAGCAGCTGTACCCTGTTGACTGTACGTTTTGACCTCAGAATTCCCACAGCTTGCCCCTTTCTGTGCCAGACCTGGTCACCCACAGCATTTAGCGTTGCCTTCTTGGCCCACACAAGTGTTAACTGACCACTCTTCCCTAAGCTGGGGGTTTAATGGCTGCTGCAAGGACACCTGGGAGGTGCAGGTCATGGGCACATCTCCAAGCAGCACCCTGTAATCACAAGCTTTTGGTCGGGTTTATGTCTTATGCCCTCCCATGCTTTGCCAGGGCCCCTCTTCAGAGGATGCTCTCACAGAATCCCAGAGTCATCCAGGTTGGAAAAGACCTTGAAGCTCCTCCAGTCCAACCATGAACCTCACCCTGACCGTTCCCAACTCCCCCAGATCCCTCAGCGCTGGCTCAGCCCGACTCTTCAACCCCTCCAGGGATGGGGACTCCCCCCCTGCCCTGGGCAGCCCATTCCAACGCCCAACAGCCCCTTCTGCACAGAAATCCTTCCTCAGAGCCAGCCTGACCCTGCCCTGGCACAGCTTGAGGCCATTCCCTCTGGGCCTGGTGCTGGTTCCTTGGCTCAAGAGACTCACACCCCCCACCCCCTCTGCACCCTCCTTTCAGGGAGCTGCAGAGGGCCAGGAGGTCTCCCCTCAGCCTTCTCTTCTCCAGACTAAACCCCCCCAGTTCCCTCAGCCTCTCCCCATCAGACCTGTGCTCCAGACCCTGCCCCAGCTCCGTTGCCCTTCTCTGGACACGCTTGAGTCACTCAATGGCCTTTTTGGAGTGAGGGGCCCCCCAAAACTGAATGCAGTCATCGAGGTGCGGCCTCACCAGTGCTGAGCACAGGGGTCAGATCCCTTCCCTGTCCCTGCTGGCAATACTATTGCTGACACAAGCCAGGATGCCATTGGCCTTCTTGGCCACACTGCTGGCTCATGTTCAGCTCTATGGATCTGCCTCATTCCCCACCCTGCCTGGGCTCTGAACTGACGCTGGCAGTCGGTGGAAGAGCAGACTTGGAGGCTGCTTAACTTTGCAACCAGATCTGACCCGTGGTCAAGGCAAGAGAGGAGATTGGTTTAGGGAAGGGCTGTGCCTGGCTGCAAGGCACAGCGCAGCTCTGCAGCAGGCTGGGAGCAGGGCTGGCCCGTGGTGCCAGTGGGGGCCCATCTCTGACCGGGGATGGACACCCTAAAACCACAAAGCTCAGAGCAATCACCCTTAGAGTGCCCAGTTTCTGCTCTGGGAGGCCCATTGGGCTGTCTGGATCAGGCCAGGGGACGTGACAGCACTCTTGGCACCGGGAGGTGCACAGCTGGGCAGACGCTCCCCCCATCGTACGCATCCATCTCAGCCTGCCCCTCTGCAGAATGGAGAGTCCCCACAAAGCCAGGCTCTGAGGACAAAATGTCCCCTGCTGTGGCTGCCCTGGTGAGGAGCAGCTCGGGGCTGGCCGAGGCAGCTCCTCAGGGAGCCCTTTTCGAGCTCCCCTGCCCCGGATCCCCATCCCACACTTGCCGCAGCAAACGGGGGTGCTGGGAGCACCGCAGGAACCACTGCACTGCCGGCACCCTCCCCTGGCCCCTGGGACGCTCGTTCCCAGTCTCCTTCCTTCCTTCCCCTCCTGGCCCTGGAGCAAAGTGGTATTTTCATCCCAGGGGAAGGATTTCTTCCTGGCTATTCGCAGCCGGACCCTGACCCCTTCCCAGTGGGTATCACTACCTGGCGCGTGGTGCCCCGGCACGGCCCTGCTGGGCTTTACTCCCTGTCGGTTGTGACGGAGGTTGTTGGTGTGGGATGGAGGGCGCGTGCGTGCTGCCTCGTAAACAGCACTGTTATTCCTGGATCCTTGAGCCTGGGAAGGAGCCAAACGTGAGTAATGAAAGGAAGGGGAGGGATGCGCTGGCATCCCTCCTTCCCAGCCCCACTCCAGCAGTGAGGGACCAGAGGGGGATGTGCAGGCAGCCCTCGCTGCCAGCTCCTGCCTAAGACCAAGGATAATTCCGTGTTCACTTTTTTGCTGCGTAGGTGACCTTGATTCCTCTGGGCAGCATGCATGGGTGCAGGCAGCAGCTTTTGGCCCCCAGCAGTATCCAGCTCAGGGGCTCAGCGGTACAAACCATCTGTACCCAGTTACCTTCCATCCCCACTTCCCTGGCCTGGAGGTGCCCTGCACCCCCTTTACTGATGGATAGGCTAAAGGATGTGGCCAGGGGCAGGCAGGACCCAGAGTTTGTGGCCAGGATCCTTCTGGGGCTTCCCCGAGGTGGATATTGCTGGGGGGGAGATGGATGTTCAGTGGTAGGAACAGCTGCCTCCAGGTTTTACATCGGGGTAGACAGATCAGCAATGCTCACAGGACCCCATTTTATCCCTGCTGGCACCAGTCCCCACCCCAGTGCTGCAGCTCTGAGCCCTGCAGGCAGCCCAGGGGGTGTTACAGCCCCGCTCAGCCTGTGAAATCCTGTGGGAGTGTTTGGACAGTAGCTCAGTGAATGAGCCCAGTGGAGTCGGGGAGCCCCAGGGAGCATCACCTCAGGATGCTGGGGCTGAGCCGAGCCTGGCAGGGCCCCTCTGCTCTCCGGGTGAGGATGCTCCACGTGGCACAGGGCTGCTGCAAGGTCCCAGTTGGCCCTGAGCCCCTTGCTCCCGTGCAGATCCCCAGAGGGGGTGGCGACTGGGAAGATGAGGTGTTTTGCCCAAATTCAGCATCACCCAAAAGCAGGAGACTTTAGGGCTGGGTGCTCTCAGGACAGGCCTTCTGCATACCTCCCTCAAGCCTTATTCTAAAAAAGGGACAAATTTAGGCCTCAAACTGCCCCATATAAACCCAAATTGAGCTTTACCTGGGGGACCAGCACCCTTGGAGTCAATCCCACAAGGGAAGCGTCCCAAGGCTGAGGCTGGCAGGGTGACTCCCTCAACAATGGGCTCCCCACACCTCATGTGTTTTCTAATTTAGAAACATTTCTTATCTGGGTTTTAATTGGGCATTTCCATCCCTGTCCCTGGGACCAGAGGGTCTGAGCAGGGAGAAGCACCACGTGGAGGACGTGGCACAGCTGCTCACGGACACAGACTCTTTCCCTCGGGCTCAGCCAGGCAGTTCCCTGGTGTGTCCCTGCTCTGTGAGGAGTGGTGGTTCATTCACCGGGGTAAAAAGGGAACCGTCAGGGTCATGGGGGCACCTCATGGTCCCCAGCACAGATGTTGAGGAAGCACGTGTGTCTGGCAGGAGTGCCAGTACCTATTTGAATATGGGTGCGAGGTGGTCACAGCCCCAAGATGTCCCTGGGGTGGGGGGGAACCCACAGGTGCAGCTGTCCTAGCTGTTGTGTAAGCCCAGCATCTGCGGGAGGCGAAATGAGATTGTAGGGGATTACAAGGAACAGGCTCAGGCTGCTTGATTCTTGTTTCTAAAAGGAGCTCTTAAGCCACTGTTGTTTTCCCAGTGCTTCGGATTAGGGACGAGACAATGTGGGGTGGCCCCCAGGCTCCCCAGAGGGACCCCCTGACCCTCCACCAACCTGTGGCTCCCCACCAATGTGGGCTCTGTCTGTTAGTGCCAAGCACAAGAGAAAAACAGGGCTGGGGGGTGACCACCCCTCCCTGAGCACCCCAAAACCACCCCCCATCTCCTCCCCACGTCCCCAGGAAAGGCACTGGGGGATCAGGCTGGCCATGGTCCCACACATGGATGGGGGTTTCAGGGCCCCTGGTAGAGACCCCACTGCTGCCAACGGGCCCCAGGGTGCTGCAGAGTGGGTCTTAGGGTGCTCACAGCCCACTCCCTCTCTTGCAGAGATTATGCACGATGTGATCCGGAAAGTGAAGAAGAAGGGTGAATGGAAGGTGAGCGCCAAACACCGGGGGGACGGGGGTCAGGGGAGGAGGGTGGAGAGGAGGAAGCAGGGAAGGGGGTAGGTGCAGGCAGGGAGCCCCCAGGGGTGGTGGAGGGATGGGGAAGGGCAGCTCCCCGGCTGCCTGCCGTGCCCCCAGCTCACAGCCCCTCTCCCCAGGTGCTGGTGGTGGACCAGCTCAGCATGCGCATGCTCTCCTCCTGCTGCAAGATGACCGACATCATGACAGAGGGAATAACAAGTGAGTACCGGGTCGCAAACCTCTCTGTAGAAAGGGCAAAACCTCCCTCTGTACCAGGAGACCCACAAAGGTATCTCCAGGCTGGCAGGAACCAGTTGAGGTGGTGGCACGGCCCCCACCCAGCCCCATCCCATTTGGGATGGAGTCATGCTACCTCCCATCGCTCTTGGCCAACTATGCTGATGCCAGGCTGATGTTTCACAGCTTTTCTCCTTGGCTCCTGGGGCTGGAGGAGCCCAAACACCTTATCTCCTGGCAGTACCTCAGTCCGAGGAGGAGACCAGGCGTTATTTTATGTCAGCCCTGTAAATAGCTCCTGCAGCCCTTGGAAAGGAGAAGGAAGCCCAGCTGCTGTGTGGGCAGGGGCCAGTGGTTAGGGACGTCCTGGACACAGAGGGGTTTGGGGGGTTTGGTCCTGTGCTGCCGTGGGATATCCAACAACCCTGTGTAGCCGAGTGCCCCTGCCCACACCCCTCCCTGCCATGGCTTCTGTTTCCCCCCCCCAGTTGTGGAAGACATCAACAAGCGCCGGGAGCCGCTGCCCAGCCTGGAGGCCGTTTATCTTATCACCCCTTCGGAGAAGGTGAATACACAGTGTGGGGTGTGGGGGCATGGCTGTGGGCTGGGGGACGGTGGGGGGCTGCCCATGCTGGGACGGGCAGCCCTCCCGTGGGAAGCACCTTGGCTCCAGTGAGGCCAACGGTGCTGCTGGGGTGGTGGAGCAGAGGGGCAGAGCTCCCCCGTGCCAGGAGGGAGCACCCTGGGTGACCCTCCTGAGGTGCTGGCAGTGCCACCCTGCCCAGCCCAGCTGGACCCTTCTCTCTTGCAGTCCATCCACTCCCTCATCAACGACTTCAAGGATCCCCCCACCTCCAAGTACAGAGCTGCCCATGTCTTCTTCACTGACTGTGAGTACCCAGGGGTCGCAGCTCCCACGCCATAGCCCAGGCACCCGGACCCCCAGCTCCCCACTGGCACCTCCTGGGCAAGAGAGAAGGAGAAAGAGCAAACGGTGGGGTGACAGCCCCATCCTGCCCAGGGCCTGGGGTGGCTGCGGGTGCAGACAGGTGGTTTCCATCAAAGGGATGGCCGGATTCCTGCGCCCCAGGGCAGGTGCTACAGACAGACAGCCCTTCTCCAAGAAGGAAACAAGGGAGGGAGAGGCCCTGTCACTGAAACACATGCAAGCAAGCAGGGATGGAGGGATGCTGAGCACTACCCTCCTCCTCCTCCCCTTGCAGCCTGTCCTGACGCCCTCTTCAACGAGCTGGTGAAATCCCGTGCTGCCAAGGTCATCAAAACCCTGACGGAGATCAACATTGCCTTCCTCCCCTCTGAGTCCCAGGTGAGGCCGGGCTGGGGACTGTCCCTGCTGGGGTGGTGGGACAGCCAGGGAACGTGCTGGGTCCTTCTCCAGCCCATCAGGGTTTGTGTAACAGCCTCTCCCCTGGCTGGCTCCTCGCCCCCTGCTCGGCTCTTCCTCCCTGTCCCTTTCGATTACTTCTCGGGCTGATCCGCACGGGGGATTTAGCAGGTGCGGTGCCTTGGCCCGCATTGGCCAGCTCTGTGCCCCTGCTGGCACGGCCCCCAGCCAAGGGCACTGGGGAGCTGGCCCAGGCCATCTGCCTGTGCTGGGGACATGGGGACGAGGGGGACAGGGAGGGACAGGTAGTGCCAGACCCACTTGGTGCTGTTAACCCCTCAAGCCTCAGCATTTCTAGGGAGACAGACAGGCAGAAGATGACCTCTTGGCATCCCCACATACAGCTAAATTGGCTTCTGGTCTTTACTGGTGGCATGGCCAGGGAGCAGTCTGTCCCCACTTCTCCCTGGGTCTCTGATTGCCTGTCTGGGAGCAGGTGACTGTGGTGGGCAGGGGGTCTCCTGCCTCCCCTGCTCACCCTGGGGGACTACGCATGGGTCAGGACCGTGCTGCAGAGCTGGAGCTGGAGAAGGTGTCAGGGTCCAGAGCTGGCATCTGAAAGCCCAAGGGATGCCCCCGAGCATCACTGAGCTCCGGCTCTCTGGTCCCAGGCTCAGCTGGGGACCTTCATCTGGGGTTAAATCTGGTTTCCAAACCCTCTGGGGTGTCCTGGGGGGCTGCTGTCCTCTGGACATCCCCTGCAGCACATCCCCTCTAACCTCTCTCCTGCTGCACCTCCCAGGTTTACTCCCTGGATTCGGCTGACTCCTTCCAAAGCTTTTACAGCCCCCACAAGGCCCAGATGAAGAACCCGATCCTGGAGCGCCTGGCCGAGCAGATCGCCACGCTGTGTGCCACGCTGAAGGAGTACCCAGCTGTGCGGTACAGGGGGTAAGGGCAGCGCAGTCGGCACCCCCCGGGACCCGCCTCCCCCCCAGCAGCGATGGTGGGACGGGCAGACATTCATGCTCAGTGTAAAAACAGGCTCAGACTTGATGCTCTCAAGAGTGGGGTGGGGGTGGGAGCCAAAAACCCAAGTGGCATCTCATGTAGGATAGACCAAGGCAAAGCAGGGCACCCCGAGGAGAGGTGGAAAAGGGCAACAAAACCAGCGCAGGGCTCTCCTCTCCCACAAGCCAAGGACATTGCACAGGGAAACTAGCAGCTCCTCCCCATCCCACGGCAAGAGCTGCCCGCCCCGAGGAGCTGACCTCTCCTCCTGCCTCCTCCAGGGATTACAAGGACAATGCCATGCTGGCGCAGCTCATCCAGGACAAGCTGGACGCCTACAAGGCTGATGACCCCACCATGGGTGAGGTGAGCAGGGACGGTGCTGGCAGCCCTGGGGGTGGATGCTCGAGTGATGCTTCACTCCTAAAATCCTGCTTGAGCTCTGCCACGCGGCAGTTGCAGACCCCAAACGGGGAACTCAAAATGGCACCGGCTTCCTTTGACTGCCTGTGGGGCTGGAGGAGCCCTTGGCCCCACTGCTGACGCCTCCCCCTGGCTCTGCAGGGACCGGACAAGGCTCGATCCCAGCTCCTTATCCTGGACCGCGGCTTCGACCCTGCTTCCCCGGTGCTGCACGAGCTGACCTTCCAGGCAATGAGCTACGACCTGCTGCCCATCGAGAACGATGTCTACAAGTGAGTGCAGCACTGCTGGCCCCATGACCACAGCCCCCACAAACGAGTCCAGCCCTCAGGCGGGAGCTGGAAGCTCAGCCATGGGGTCTGAGCCTCAGCATCTCTCCATCCATCACGAGTCACTGGTTGGGAGAAATCATTCCTGCCTGCAGTCTGACAAGCGTGATGGGCAGGACTGATGCAAAAGCGGCTTTTCTAGCCTATCCCTTCCCACCATTTAGCAGCTGAAGGGGCACAAGAAGGCGAGATGCAAAACCAGCTTGAAATAAAAGCCAAGAAGAGCCCCTATGTCCCCCGATCTCCTCACACCTCCCTAGAGCCACACATCCTCCCCAGCAGCGAGGGGACTGCGTACCCCCCCAGCTCCATCCCGACTGTGACGCTCTCTGCCTTTTTCTCAGGTATGAGACAAGCGGCATTGGGGAAGCCCGGATTAAGGAGGTTCTCCTGGATGAGGACGACGACCTGTGGGTCACCTTGCGCCACAAGCACATCGCCGAGGTGTCCCAGTGAGTGTCCCTGCGGGCGGTTTGCCAGCTGGGTGAGATGCTGGGCCTGCATTGCCACCCATGCTGCTGCTGGGGTCCCCTCCCCGCTGACGGTTGCGCCCTTCTTCTCTCCCCAGGGAGGTGACCCGGTCCCTGAAGGAGTTTTCTTCGAGCAAGAGGATGAACACAGGCGATAAGGTGACCCAACTGCATCTGCCAAGCCGAGGACAGGCACCTGGGGGGCTCAACTGTGAGCTGGCACACAGTGGAGTCTCCTGGGGACACTCTGCAAAGGGCCAAGGGTGCTCTGGGGGAGATGGCTTTGGGGTGCTGGCCCTATGCCCAGCCCTGGGGACATGGGATGCCTTGGGAGGGCACCGCGCCATGGGGATTAGTTTGCCCCCAGCACGGGGTCCCTGCCCACCCTGCAGCAGCTGCCTCTGTCCCCAGCCAATTACTTTCCCAAGCCCCTGAGTTGGTGGCAGTGAGGGGACACCAATGAAGTTAAGATGTAAAAGTGGTCAGAAGCTGAAAGCACCATCTCAGCCTCAGCCAGGCTCACGAGGGTCCTGCAGGAGGGTCCTCGGGGGATTTCTCCCCCTGGCACTCCAGCATACAGAGCTGCAGACACTCTCCCTGCCCTCGGCTGCAGCAGATGAGACCCGACAATGCCATGGCAGGTGTCACCAGACCCCTGTGAGGGGCTCGCGTGGGGACAGAAGTCCTTGGGAGGGTCATGTCCCCTCTGGTCATGGTCCCTAAGTCCCTGAAGGTGAGTGACCATGTCCCTTTCCCTTGCAGACCACCATGAGAGACTTGTCCCAGATGCTGAAGAAGATGCCGCAGTACCAGAAGGAGCTCAGCAAGGTGTGAGGAGGGGTGTGATGTCTGTGCACAGCGCTGGTGCTGGGCGCCCCCCAGGGAGTGGGTGACAGCAGCTCTCCCCAGACGGGGCCCAGCTGCAAGCAGGGGCTGGGGCCGGGGTGGTGGCACGGGGACCTTTGGCTGCTGCCAGCACCACAAGGGTGGCTACACTGCTTCTGTCTCCCCAGTACTCAACCCACCTGCACTTGGCTGAGGACTGCATGAAGCACTACCAGGGCACAGTGGACAAGCTCTGCAGAGTCGAACAGGTACTGGCTCCCCCCAGCCCCATATCCCACTCCCAGCATCCCCGTGGGGACAACTGGGGCCAGCAGCTCCTGCCCCACACCTCTGCACTGAGCCACGGGTTGAGGGTGTATCAGCAGTAGCGTGGCCAGCAGGGACAGGGAAGGGATCTGACCCCTGGACTCAGCACTGGTGAGGCTGCGCCTCGATGATTGCATTCAGTTTTGGGGGGCCCCTCACTCCAAAAAGGCCATTGAGTGACTCGAGCGTGTCCAGAGAAGGGCAGCGGAGCTGGGGCAGGGTCTGGAGCACAGGTCTGATGGGGAGCAGCTGAGGGAACTGGGGGGGTTCAGTCTGGAGAAGAGGAGGCTGAGGGGAAACCTCCTGGCCCTCTGCAACTCCCTGACAGGAGGGTGCAGAGAGGGGAGATGAGTCTCTTGAACCAAGTAACCAGCGATGGGACAAGAGGTAATGGTCTCAGGCTGCCCAGGGCAGGGTCAGACTGGCTCTGAGGAAGGATTTCTTTGCAGAAGGGGCTGTTGGGCGTTGGAATGGGCTGCCCAGGGCAGGGGAGGATTCCCCATCCCTGGAGGGGTTGAAGAGTCGGGTTGTCCCACCGCTGAGGGATCTGGTGGAGTTGGGAACGGTCAGGGTGAGATTCATGGTTGGACTGGAGGAGCTTCAAGGTCTTTTCCAACTGAGATGATTCTGTGATTCTGTGAGGGGTGACGAGCATGTGTGTTCTCTGCAGGACCTGGCCATGGGCACTGATGCTGAAGGTGAGAAGATCAAGGACCCCATGAGAGCCATCGTCCCCATCCTGCTGGATGGGAATGTCAGCACCTATGACAAGATCCGCATCATCCTGCTCTACATCTTCCTGAAGAACGGTGAGGAGGGCACCTGGGCAGGGTTGGGCAAGACGTGCAGGCAGCTCTGGGTGGCAAACAGCTCACGGTTCAGCCGAGATAAGCCAGATGGAAAAGCTCAGCTCTGTCTCTCTGACCACCACCAGGCCAGGTGTCCTAAGGGGACAGTGGAGGGGCAGTGTCCTCACCAGGAGGCATTTCTCAGGAGGACACCATCTCACTGTTGCATTTCCAGGTATCACCGAGGAGAACTTGAACAAGCTGATCCAGCACGCTCAGATCCCGGCAGAGGACAGCGAGATCATCACCAACATGGCCCACCTCGGGGTGCCCATCATCACAGACGTGAGTGTCCACCGCCTGCTCCCCACCGCCCTCCTCGCCCCTCGGAAGGACCATGGCACCCACTCTGCTGTGGGAACTGTGTACCCCCCGGGGTGACCTCAGCACCCCTCTGGGGTGGCCCTGATCCCACCACCGGAGCCCCCTTGTCTCAGGGTGTCCCTGTGCTCTTTCTGCCCAGTCCACCCTGCGCCGCCGGAGCAAGCCGGAGCGGAAGGAGCGGATCAGTGAGCAGACCTACCAGCTCTCCCGATGGACCCCTGTAATTAAGGACATCATGGAGGTGAGCCAGCAAGGACAGGGACAGGGGAGAGAGCAGGGACCTGGGATCACCCAGGAAAGGACCTGTGGAGAGCTGGGTGCTCCCAGCCCAAACCCTGACGCCTCTCCCCAGCACGTGCCCTCCAGGCTGCTTGCTGCCTGCAGTTGCAAACAAAGTTGGGAAGTTATGGGAGGTTTTCCTGGTCCCCACCTGAATGCTGGCCCCGGGTGGGATGCACAGCCCTGGCCTGGCTCGCGTGACATCCCCACAATATAAAAGTGGTAACAAACAGGTTGCTCCTTGTTCTGCACCATGTGCCACAGCAGGCACAGCTGGGTGGCCTTGTCACAGCACTGCTCATGTCCCGGCTGACCCAGGGGACACAGTTCACTCCTGCCCACAGGGACAGCCCTGCCTGTACCCATGGGAGCTGCCCCGTGAGCTCTGTGCTCGGCTAGCACTGGGCAGAACCAAAAAGTGATTTTTTTCTAGGCAGTGCCCTCCTCCTGATCCATTCCCTCCGTGACCACCCCTCGAATCAGAGCAAGCTGCTGGGGTTTGCCAAGAGTCAGGGGTCCTGGGCACCAAACCTGCTCCCCAGCACAGACATTTCCCACCTGCTCAGACAGACCCTGGAGCTACATTTTGGGGAGGGGATCACTGCAATTCAGTGCCACCTCTGCTCCCAGGCACCAAGGACAAGCAGAGCTGCAGCTGCCTCAATTTCCAGAAGCACACAGCTCTTGCCTTCCTCTACCACAGTCCATGCAAACCCTTTTGGGGTGGCTTCATGCCCAGCGTACCCCTAAACCTCATCCCCAGGATGAGAGGGGACTGCACAGGGCAGAATAAAGGGCAACAACCCTCCACAGCTGGTGGAAGCAAGACCAGGTCCCGTACCCCAGGGGTGGATCGCAAGTGTGAAGCCTCCAGCTCAGCTCATCCCCCTGAGCTTCCCAGGAGAGGACCCTGCCTTGGCCCTCCCCTTACCCAAAGACTGGCTCTGAGGAAGGATTTCTTTGCAGAAGGGGCTGTTGGGTGTTGGAATGGGCTGCCCAGGGCAGGGGGGGAGTCCCCATCCCTGGTGGGGTTGAAGAGTCGGGTTGAGCCAGCGCTGAGGGATCTGGGGGAGTTGGGAATGGTCAGGGTGAGGTTCATGGTTGGACTGGAGGAGCTTCAGGGGCTTTTCCAACCGAGATGATTCTGTGATTCTGTGATACCCTACCTCACAGACATCCCCTGTACCCCCTGTACCCCTCACCCTGTACCTCTGTGCTGCAGCCTCCCTGCGCCACCAAGCATCCTCCTCCCCCTAAGCGCACCCTGTTACAGGAACACAGCCAGATTGTTCCAAAAAGTAAGGCTATGCAAATATATGCAGATAAATCCTGACAAAGTTAGGCCAGTCCTCCTGGGCGCAGCCCTACAGAGGTGTTGTAGGGCCGGGGGCTGTGCCTGGCTCCTTGCTGACCCCCCCATGCTCTCTGCCCACAGGACGCCATCGATGACAAGCTGGACACCAAGCACTACCCGTACATCTCCACCCGCTCCTCCGCCTCCTTCAGCACCACTGCCGTCAGGTGAGTGCCCCGCGCCACCACCCTCCCCTATACATTGGCACGAAGGAGCTGGGAGTGTTCAGTGTGAGGAGGAGAAGGCTGAGGGGAGACCTCATCACTCTCTACAGCTCCCTGAAAGGACATTGCAGAGAGGTTGGTGCTGGTCTCTTCTCACAGGGGATTGGCGATAGAACAAGAGGGAATGGCTTTAAACTGCAACAGGGGAGGGTCAGACTGGACATTAGGAAAGAGAAAGAGTGGTCAGAGTGTGGAACAGGCTGCCCAGGGAGGGTGTGGAGTCACCATCCGTGGGTGTGTTTAAGGGTCATTTAGATGAGCTGTGGGGGGATGTGGGGTAGGGGAGAACTTTGTAGGGTCAGGCTGATGGTTGGATTTGATAATCCCAAGGGTCTTTTCCAACCTGGATGATTCTGTGATTCTGTGTATATCGCTGTTAGCATCCATCTCTCACCTGCCCACAGGGGCTGAATCCATCAGCGGGTCTGTGAGCTGCTCTGCCGTCATTCAGGCATCCCGTGCATCAGTTTCCCTACCTGTAACAGCAAGCAGCACTCGTGACTGGGAAGATGGACTTTACTTGCTCTAGCAGGAATTTGGGAGCTAATTAATGTGTGATTTAGATAAGATGTGAACTCAGCGTTGCCTCGTGCCCATCCTTCATTCTCCTCTTCCTCTCTCTAGTGCCCGCTACGGCCACTGGCACAAGAACAAGGCCCCTGGCGAGTACCGAAGCGGCCCCCGCCTCATCATCTTCATCCTGGGTGGCGTCAGCATGAACGAGATGCGCTGCGCCTATGAGGTGACGCAAGCCAGCGGCAAGTGGGAAGTGCTAATAGGTGAGTGGGAGCCGGGGCCGGACCCTGCGCCCCGTCGCGCTGGCTGCTCATCCCACGCTCCCTCCGCCACCCCACAAATTCCCAGCTCCAGATACCTGCGGGAGCAGGAGCTCTGCGGAAAGGTCTTCTCCTGCTGCCCGCTATCCCTGCTGTGTCCCCCCCTCCCCAGGGGCAGGATACGTCCTTCAACCCATCCCTGGTTTTGCCTCCAGTTTTCCTCTCTGGTTTTGTTCAAGCAGAGCTGGGTGAAGAGGAAGGGAGTTTTGCAGCTTGAGTCGCTGCTGTTGCACACACATCCTCGGGGTCATTACAGGGAGTAAAAAGCAGAGTAAAGAAGTGTGCCACGCCGCACGCCTACCACGGCGCATGCTGTGCATGAAACAGGAGACGCGTTTTCCTGTTGTGCCGGTGCTGCGTGTCCTGTTGCACGTGCAGCGCACCAGGAGGTGCATTTTCCTGCCTTGCATTTGTGCGACAGGACGCACATTGTGTGTTCAGCCTCAGCACACCCCGGCTGTGCTCCCGGAGGAGCCGTGGGGCAGGCCTGGAGGACACAGTGGAAGCTTGCCAGATGTTAGCAAGGAGCTTTTAGGTCCCCTAAAATTCTGAGGAAGCACAGCTGGATACACACCTTGTAGGGCAGGGGCAGAAGCCCCTCATTGTCTCATCTGGTTCCTGGTTTCTTGCCTGGAGTGCCTCATAGAGCCTCTTGCCAGCATCTCATCTGCTCCTTGTATTTCCCTGGGAGCAGCAGCCCCCTCCCCATCATCTCCCACAGCCCCCAGCCGTGTCCCCCTGCCACCAGAGCCACCACCACTGCCCAGCTCCATCCTGCCTCTTGCCCATCTCATCTGGGGACTGTCCCCTGCATGCGCCTACAATGCTCCGGGTGGCAACCGCGTCCTTCCTCGCCCCGAAAAAATGGGGGCGGGGGGTTCTTGGCGCAGCCGTCAGCCCCGCTCTGTTCTCCCACAGGTTCTACTCACATTCTCACTCCCACCAAATTTCTCATGGACCTGAGGCACCCCGACTTCAGGGACTCTACTAGGGTATCATTTGAGGATCAGGCTCCAGCAATGGAGTGAGCCAAAGAAACCAAGTAAAGGCAGCTTACTAATGAAAAAGAAACTCTTCCTCCCTGAAGGGTTTTCTTTGATTCTTCCGTTCCTCCTTTCTTTAATTATTATTTTGGGTTTAATTTCCGTTTGGTTCTCTGATAAGAAAATGCTTGCAGTTCCTCCTACCAGGTGGAAAAGCATCCAGCGCCGCTTCCATCATCCCTCTGCCATGTCTCTCGGCCAGACGTGCCTGGCCCTTCATGCCATGAGTTCCCCCTCGCCAGGGCCAGAGGGGCCAGGGGTGGTGTGTCAGGGTCCTGCCTGCCCGGCAGAGACATCCCGGGTCCGGGCAGGGGGCTGGAGCACCCGGGGGTGCTGCTCACAGAGGGCAGCTGGAGCGGGGCTGGGGGTTTGGTGCCCAGGGAAGAGCAGGCAGCGGCAGGCACGCGGTGCAGACCCCAGCGCTTGTCCTGGCTCCGGCCCTTCTCATCTCCCACGGCAAAGCGGGGTGCTGCCGTGACCCCCCCCAGCTCCAGGGTATGATGGGGCTGAAATCCTGAGTTGATGGGGAAGCTCAGCTTTGCTCTTGCGGCACTTGGTGCCCTCGGATGGGCAGGAGCCCCCAGACATCGCAGATCCCCAAACCCTGTGCGGGGTTTAGCTGCCGGTGGTTTTGCCGGTGCGACCCGTCACGGCGTCCCCCTGAGCCACCGCTGCCGGGTGTTGGGCCACGCAGGGCCTGGCAGCGGGGAGGGCAGGGGCCGCGCTGCGGGCAGCACGGCGGGGAGCTGCTGCTGGCACCGCGCCGGGAACCGCCGAGCAAGGGGCAGCAGAAGGTGAGAGCCCTTTCCCTCCTCTGCTCCCACCCACCCCTTTGACCCAGCCACACTCCGTGCAGGCAGGGGAAAAGCCTGGGGACTTGCAGAAGGTCCCTGCCTGCTGCCTGCCCGCACTTCCCACCCCGTGCGACCCAGTGGCCTTTTGGCCAATGCCTCCTGCATCCCCAAAAGGGGTCAGGAGTGACCCTGCTGCACCTCCCGGCCCCGCTTCATCCCACCCAGCTCCATACATCTCCTTCATTTCCCCTATTCTGTTCCTTTCCCGTTACCCGCGCCCCCACAACCTTCCCCCCGCCCCGTCCATGGACGTACATTTCCGCGCAAGCATTTCCACCGGTGCGCGGGGCTGTCGCCGTCAGGTAAGGCCTCGCTGGGGGGGACCGGGGACAGCGGGGACAGCGGCCGGGGTGCAATGGGGGGGTCCCGAAGCCGTTGCTGATGCTCCTTCCCCCCTCCCTGCTTTTCCTCTGCCCCCACAGGGTCCACGCACATCCTCACCCCACAGAAACTGCTGGACACGCTGAAGAAACTCAATAAAACAGAGGAAGAAAGCAGCAGTTAAAAGGAAACGCCGCCACCGACTCGATGCCGAATTCACCTTCCCGCCGGGCGCCAGGCCCGGGGTGCGATCCTGCACCCAGCCCTGGCCCGGCCCAGCTTCTCTCTTGTTCTTGTGTTGAACCCCCCTCCCCTCCCGCCGCCTTCCCCATCTCATTTTATCCACAGGGAGGGAACAACAGCCGAAAAAAATATATTAAGAAAACCAATGCATTGTGTTTAAAAGAGGAAAAGAAAAAAAAATCTATATATTTGTAGCTGCAGCTATCCGAAGCACCCAGGAGCTCATTGCTGAGTAATCCATCTGCTCATTGCTAGTGAATCGTTATGACAAAAAAACAACAGAAAAAAACCCTCTTTTTCCCAAAGTTTTGCTCCTCGTTGGGGTCCTGTGTGGATGGACGGAGGGACGGACGCACCGACCATCGCTCCAGCCTCTGCTCGCTCTTGACCAGCGGGGTCCCGGCCACCATCTCCTGTCCCTTGTCTTTTCAGGGTGGTGGGTGCTCCTGCCAGATGTGCACACAAACATCTGGCATGGGGTTTGGAGAGGGGGGTGTGGGAAGGGTGTGTGTGCACCCGGGATGCTTCACACTGCAGCAATTCACATGTGAAAAGGGACCAAAATGGTTAAAACCTGGAGATGGGGCCCATTTGCTTGCACAGCTGCCCTGCTGCAGCCTAGCCTCCCTCTTCTTTGGGTATCCCTTAAAATGCATATATATATATATATATATATATATATATAAAAATATTTTTTTTTAATATATATATATATATATATATATATATACACACCTCTGTGAATACATACAGACACACTAGAATTCAGTGCTTCAGGAAATGCAGCTTTGGCTAGGGAGGAATTAACTCATATAAGAGAAAGCATAAGGACAAATTACTGACAATATATTAAAAAAAATGATGGACACGCTACCTTCTGATTTATGCAATCACTGCAGAAAGTAAGCATCATGCACACATACAAGAATCAGATTTACAAGGACATTCAGGAAATCTAGATTATTAAAATTGTATTAAATCCTGGTATGGATATACAGACAGTTATTTAGAATTATTCAGTTCATCTCAATTCATTTCAGATACAAATTAAGCTAAAGTCATAAAAGGCAATTTTAATTCTGAATGAGTTTAATTAGGTTTAAACCAAACAATTTTAAAAGTTAATTCATGTAGAAGTATTTATCATGTTGTACAATTAATGTTCAGAGATTGAAATAATTACACATATTTCAAGAGTGTGAATAACTAAAGTCTTTAATTGTAGATATTTCTTCACACTGTATAAATACCTCCAACTTCTGAGAATATTGTCAAGAAACATACATTTTTCTACACGTTCAGAAATATTTGGTTCCTTAGTAGTATTAGAAAAGCAGTACGATCTGTAGCAACAAGCTCAGAGAATGAGACAATTCATTTATTGTGGATTATGTCTCTCTGTCTGTTTCTTTGATGCAGTTAGTATTCTGGATTTCAACGCATTCTGCCATCAGCTGTTGGTTTTAGCTTTGTTCCCGTAAAGCACTCTGTATTCAGTGGTCATTCTCTGGCTTGAGGCAATGATGCACGTGAAATCTTTGGCTTACTGATAATTAAAAATGTGTCTTCTGCATTGAATTTTAGTTATTGTAGACAATCAATGTGTACAGGTATTGAAAGGCTACTGACCCATAAAATTCAAATCCCTTTCTCTCCATGATATCTGCATGCTGTCTTT